TTGCTATTTGATGATTTCGATAGCAACAACATTTGTTGCAAATTATTAAAAAAAATCCAGGTATGAGCTATTCCCCCCCACATTTTACCAATGGTTGTGTAACTGTGTCGCCGATACTTAGCGAAGGTGTGCAACTTTGAGACAAGGCTCGTCACTGATCACATTTTCTGGCCAATAGCTAGGATACGCAATGAATAGGATACGCAATATTCTGCCCTCTTGTGTTTTTTTATATAAATAACTCGCATGTAATTTTTTTTAACCATCTGAATCACGGGAAAGACACAGTGAAGCTGCCATATTACCTCCTCTTATCTATGAGCCAAGACTTTTAATTATAAATTTAACTGAATTTACCCGAGGGCCACTACCACGCTAGTGGCTTCGATGAGGACAGGAAGCCGGCGGCGTGTCAAAGGTGTGGAGGGAGTATGTTTAGCATGTTAGGGATTTCAACAGAGGGGCTGTGCTGCCTGAAGATATAATTTATTATAGTTCTGACAGCTGATTTTTGCTGGGTGATGATAGGCTTGAGGTAATATGCAGTGGTTGAACCGCACGCACAGACGCCGTATCTTAAATTGGGATGGATTAGCGAGTAGTAATGTGTGAGAAGTGCAGAATTGGGAATATCTAACGTTTGAGAGAATACCAACAGTTTTAGAGGATTTTCTGGTTATGTGTTGCAGCGAGTTCTAAAGCTGTATCTTGTCCAATGTATAGCTCAAGGAACTTTCCCTAATTTGTATTATTAATGCCGACGCTGTCTATCTGAGGGTGTATGTGGTTCGCCAATTTATTTCCAAACACAATATAGTGGGTCTCTAATGTAGTGGTGTCTAAATTTTGTGGAAGTTTGTTGGTTGACGAATTGTCATTGACATTTTTTTATAAAATTTGAAGACTCGTGTGTAACTTATTATGACTTTCACTTTGGGAATAACTGTACTGTACTTTTGTGTAAACTGGTTACAAACACTTACGAAAATAAGTTTCAAAATTTCAAATTGAATATGAATGGTAATAAATGTATACGGTACAATTTAAGCGTAATTTATTATGGGCGAACACAAAGCACTCGTGAAGCAAAAGCAAGAGCTTTATAATACACTACATAAAGGTGTTGTTTATACTCACAAGTTGTAAACAGCAGCCAAAGTTTTGAGGGACACAGCCGCCCACGGTGAGGGACACAGTGACCCAGGTTGAGAGGGGGACACAGCCGCCCACTTTGTGAGGTAACTCACAGCCCCACTCACCTCATAGGGTGACACCTCACAGGGCGACACACCTCACAGGGCGACACACACCTCTCAGCCCCACACACCTCACAGGGCGACACACACCTCTCAGCCCCACACACCTCACAGGGCAACACACACCTCACAGGGCGACACACACCTCACAGCCCCACACACTTCACGGGGCGACACTCACCCTCTGACTGCCGTTCCCGCGCTGGACGGGTCAGCTGACGGGTCGTCACTGCTTCATTAAGCACTTCACTTGTTTTGTATATACTGTATATATGAATTGTTTTGTTTATTAGACCTGCTTATATGCATCTATATTTGTTCGCAAGTGTTACCTGTATGCAGAATAAAGAAGTTACACTCAGGTTGTCAATTTTATGAAAAGAGCTAGAAAACACTCTCTTCAACATATACAGTATTAGTGAATACTAGACACTACAAGATATTCTTATATTCTATCTGAAGTTTGCTAGTGCTGACTAGTATACTATATAGCTTTACACCCATGTTCCTTTTTAATTCCATATATGGCTAACAGTACTGTGAGATGAGGATATTATATAGGTGAACTTGCAGCTAGCTCATTATTTATAATATTCTTTAATTCCTCATATATACAGTAATCTATAATAGCACACTGTTAAGTACCTAAGCTTGTTAATTTATAGTCAGATTACAGTCAACCAGAAAGCAGCCACCATCCTCAAACCAGATCAGTTTGGCCTTGGGATTTTCATAGGCTATGAAGCCTACTGCATTTTAGCTCAGAAATGTTATTTTCACCATTAAAACTGCAGATTAAATATCTAGTTATTTAAAAAGTACCGTATGCAGTTAGGGAATAATAGCAACAATTAAACATGAGGTAAACCTCCAATGAAGTACTACCTACATTTTTCTTTTTCCAAAGTACAGTACCTAATATCAGAACTGTACTGTAATTTAAAATATGACACGTAACTGACCATGTCTCAAGCTTTTCGATCACTGTGACATGTGGCTATAAGGTTCATTGGGGGAAAAAATAAAAAAAAGTCATACAATGAGACATGCGGATTTTGATAAATCGCATCAAATTATTTGTTTTCAACTTTTCTGAAATGTTTGCCTAGAATTTGGCTTTCAGAACATGAATTTGTGTAGTAGCTGCAGCTATTTGGCTGCGATAGAGGAAAATGTCACCACTACCTGTTACAAAGTTTCTCAGCCCTATGTATAACCATTATGGACAGCACAATAGGCACTGTGGAGTTAAACAGAAACGTAAAAAAATAATCAACACAAAAATAATACATTTACAGAAAAACTAAGAATAAGGAAATGTGAGTCTGGTAGTTATGAAAAATAACACTAGGAAATGAAGGGTATCAAAGAATTTAAGATTAACACATGAATAACAGCAAAACAGGAATGCAACAGTGTGCTATCTGGGATGCTAAAACATATGGCTGGGGAACTTCGCAAGTGGTGCAGGTCCCTTAAAAATACTTAAGTTCTACCTTTCTAGAGCGAGAGTCTAGAAAACCTGAACTTTATTAATTTTTTGGTCTCAACAGTAACTTGGCTCTAGTCTTTAATTACTCTTTAAGGTTGGTGGCAATTGGGTCCACCTGCCATTGGCTTTCTCATAATGATCTTAAATGTTCTAATATAACACAACATAGGAAACTCTCATCCTAGTGCATAGAGGGGATCAAGGATGCTACCAAGACCAATCTTTAATGGTTAGGGCCTAACTCCATCACAAATATTTAGTCACTCTTCAAGCTTGTCACTGTTATGACTCCTACACCAATTAATAGCAAATATGAAGTGTTGTTTTCATTAATTTTTATGTGATGTTTTAAATATTCATAATATAGGTACTAAGGCTTACAATAGGACATTTTAAAAATTAAATGGGGTGCATAAAAAAAATTAAATTAAACAAAAAAATTGTATGAAGCGATCCAAGCATATGGCACAATAAGATGTCATCACCATACACTGTGCTGCCATCTCTTTATCTTGGCAGGCGGTGCCAAAACTTCCACTGTGCAAAACTTATTGGCTCTCCACTATACAGTACCTAAATATGTATCTATCTTCAGGTTATCTTGAGATACCTGGTTGATGGGGTTCTGAAGGTTCTACTCCCCCAAGCCTGGCCTGAGGCCAGGCTTGACATGTGAGAGCGTGGTCCACCAGATGATTTCGGGCCTTAGCGTCCTTGCAGCCCGGTCCTCGACCAGGCCTCCTTTTTGTTACACATCCCCAGGAAGCAGCCCGTAGCAGCTGTTTAACTCCCAGGTACCTATTTACTGATAGGTAACAGGGGCATGAGGGTGAAAAAAACTCTGCCCATTTGTTTCCGTCTCTGCCAGGGATCGAACCCGGAAGCTCAGGACTACGAATCTGAAGTGCTGTCCACTCACAGCTGTCAGGGCCCCCACAGCCTAACATATAGCAAAAAGATTGAAAAGGTGACATTCAGCGGAAGGAAAAAGTGAGTGGTGTGGATGTGGTAAGGGAGGCAGTGGAGGGGGTAGAGATGATAAGTGTGGTTGGACATTTGAGTGATGTGGGTGCATGGTGGGTGTGGATGGTTAAGGGTGGAGGGAAGTAGAAGTGTGGAATAATGGTAAATATTTGTCATCCCCACTGTTGATGAAATTGAACTTAAGTCATACATGCTTTAAATCTTCCCTTCTCTTTACTAAATATATCAATTTAAAAACAATTGGAGCCATTGAATTATAGCAAAATAAATTTGTTATCACGATGTTAATGCAACTAATTTTCTGATCAGACATTAAGTGTTTTAAGTAAATACAATAAGAGATTTGATGTATGCAATGAAAATAAACTAAATATTGCAACTGGGCAAAACTGTTCAATGATGAAAGGAACCAATTTTGATTATACATATCAGTTGTTTTCAGACCAATATGTGAGACTATCAATGTATTATCACAAGTTAGGGAGAAAAAAAAAAAAAGAGAATGAAAAGTTACAACTGGTTTACATTTTACAATTTCATTAGCAGTCAATGTGATGAGACATCCTTCAGTTACTAACTGAAACACTATCGTAAAAAAAAAAAAAAAATTTGCTGTCTATTGAAAGGATGTCCTGATGCACTAAAGTTCATAAAACTATCAGTAATAGCAAGACATTGCGAGAAAATTTGTTATTTTTATGTTGTAATTTATGCTTATGGGTGATTTAGGAAAATTTGTTTAACTTATGTTATTTATCTGATCTTAATCTCTAGGAAACCCATAGGGGATGAAGAAGCCTGTGAAGTGTTCTTATTTTGACTTAAGTTTCTGACTTTCTAATTTTGAAGTTTTTTTTACTTAACTGCAGCATGAACTTTTTTTTTATATCTATTTTTAGAAAATTAAATTAGGGTGCCAGTCTCCAAGTGAGGGGTTCATACACTTAAATATTTTAAATATCTGGTTACATGTCAAGAATGGAAAATTCCAAGAGGAAATGAAGTATCATAGTTAAAATTACCAAGCAGTCACATATTAGCATTGACATTTCCCAAGGTTCTTTGGGTGAGGGAAGCATCACTCCAGCCATACACTAATATGGAAACAAATAGTGTTAAAAAGCTTCAGATATTACACAAATTTAAGTTAATGACATAACCAAATGTTTGGATAAATGATGCCATCATTTTCAGTACAATTAAGTGATGGTTATATCAATTAGCTCAATAAAATATGGGATAAAACCTAAGGATAAAAAATAAGCATATAATGTATTAATTTTACTTAAATGAACATGTTAATGAAGGTTAGAATAATGTACATAATATATTAATCACACCATTATATGAATTAAAATATATATAATTATGAATATAATAAAAATCAATACAAGCACTTAAGTTTTATATCCATTGGTTATTTATACATTTGTAATGCAAAGAGTTCAGTCATTCTAGAAAGCAAGCAAGCATACAGGTCATCTTGACCTTGATATATATTTTATATACTATAAAATAAAAAGACTGTATCCATGAAAGTAATAACATTGTGTTATTATTTGTATAACTTTAACATCACTTGCCTATTTCAATGTTTGAAATCCATAGAAGCAATAGTATTTCTTACTAAAAATATAGTATGTTTAATGACTTGATTAACATTGGCACACTACTGTATATATACCGATTCCCTCTCATTATAAGAATATATTTACATACATTATTATACTAGATTATGTTTCTTTAGTTTTCATTGAATAAACAATTTTTAAATATAAATTCCAGGGTTGCAAGTCAGAGTCTACAGAGGGAACGAGACAAGCATTTTATGAAATTACAAATTTCCTTGTCATGACGTATTTGGAGCAAAATGAAACTTTATCGTCAACAAAAAAATAACTTGAGTTTATAGAAAAAGGAGAGAGATTTTAAACAAGAGAATTTTGTCAGCTGGTATATTAAAAATAACAAATATGCTTAAATGTTTCCAATTAAACTTGATAATCCTCAGGCCTGAGAGCATCAGGATCCCACGCTCTGATGTTTGCCAACGACTTGTTCAACTTGTTGCACCATATTATTCTCTCTTCCTTACTGTCTGAAGACAACAAGTGTCTGCAAGAAAAAACAGGTTTACAAAATGTTAGCAACACACACAAAAAGGACACACAAGTGAAAGAGGAAAAGTCAGAAAAATATCAAATACTATTAAATATGTGTGAGTAAAAAAAATAGTACACTCTTTAAGCCAAGTCTGTTGAAGTCATCTTGGTTCACAAGAACATGTGTATTAGTATGAAAACACAGAGAAGAATATAGATGAATATAGTAATATAGATGATGTATATACCCTTCATATCTTTAGTGCCTATACATACACGTGCAAACAAAGGAGCAGAATATAAAGGCCAACAAAGAGGTACTAATAAGAGCTAGAAAGAGCATAAGAAAGATACAGCAGAAAAAAGTGAAAAATCAGCCCAAGCTGTCAGTCACTCGAGAGAGCAAAACAATAGTACTGTAAAGGGTAATATGATTGAAGATATTTGAAGCCAATATCAAGCTTTTGGTCGATTCCAATTCCGCCTCCCAGCCCAGGCGGTAAATGCATAACATTCACTTTAATGTATATATGCATTGGGTTGCATCCCCGTGAATTACAGCTTGTGTTTCAAGCAGTCGAGCCTGGGTGCATATGGAAACTGGTGACAATTTGTAACTAGTTAAATAAGATTTTTTTTTTTTTATATACAGTGTACTGTATAAAAGAGTTCTTAGCCACTAGCACACACAGCATTTTGGGCAGGTCCTTAATCCTGATTTTCCCCAGAATACAGTACGACCCACCAAATCGTTTAACAACCAGGTACCCATTCACTACTGGGTGAACAAAGGCTACAGTTAAGGATTGGCATCCAGTCAATCCTCCCCAACCAGGATACAAACCCTGGCCAAAGTGCTTTTGAAGCGCCAGGCGAGTACTTTACCACTGCTCCACAAGAACTGCACTAATATATATTTTATGTTTTAGACTCCAATATATATATTTTAGATATTGGTAAGTAGTGGTTCTGCATGCAATTTATCTTCAAACTAATGAGCCCGGGTAAATAATATGCACCAGTCATTTCCCTGGTTATGAAATGAATTTTATATTACTCCCAGCTGGTGATATTTGAGACTTCCTTGAAAATACTTGCCCCAGTTCAAAAGTCCAAAGTGCACTTCTCAATATGATTCACACACAGATGTCTAACTATGCAGTGAAAGGGTTAAGCAAAATGAAAAATAAAACCAGGCAACACAAAGATCTTGTTTCACTAAGGTGTGAGTCTAGATAATTTAAATTACCAAGAAGTTTTTATCTTCATAAATTATATTAGAAAACACAATACTTAAATAAAAAAAACCTACTTAATAACTAATGTTGATCCCTGGACTTCTTGTACAAGATTGGAAACGTCCCTGGAATGAGCTGGCTGGACACAGGTCAGCTGGAAGGTGTGTTGTCGAGCACATATATCTCTGGCAACAAGTTCAATGCGCCGAGTGGTGCATGTGCGCAAGTCAATCTGTCCACAGGCCTCCTATGAAGAGAAATAACATGTGCATTATAAAATCAATTAAATTAATATGTACTCATAATGTCTTAACAAGCTTTTCAACAGAGCAGCATCTCTTCCCAATGCCACATCCATGGAGATATTGTATTTTCCCCTGACATTTCACACATCCAGAACATGTTCAATATTTCAATCAATTTTGTATATTTTGAAACTTTGATATTTTGATCACCACTTTTCAAACCTATTTTTCTGTGTATTCAAATATTGTAACATTGCACATACCCCTGCAACACCCTGATTTACATTGCCCTCTAATATACTGTACAGTAAATCCTGTGTGTAAACTAAACAATCTTTTAATTATCAAAAATACAAATACAAGATTTCCTTTTAGAGATATACAGATCTTCACAGTTTTGCACTGCATAAACAGCATTCACTGTGCTTTTTCACTTTTGTTCCAATCTCTTTTTATGACATGGTGTCAAGTATGTTGTAAGCTTTCCATAAATTCTGGCCTGATGGCCTATATTGTCTATCTGAAGCATAGACACTTAAAATGTCAGATTCAGGTCATGTGCCTTAAAAATATAATTATATATAACACTTTTGTGCAGGTCAGACACAGGTGACCTTTATCTTGAAGCAGTATTGATAAGGACCAAAAATTTAAAAGCAAGGTTTTGCCATAGAAATACATTTTCACATCTTTGCAGAAAATTTTAATAAACTACTACTTTAACAAAAGTGAAGTCACTCTTGTCTTCATAACTGCTTTCCAATAAAATTGGTAGGGTACCCATATCTTCAAGGGCTCAGATATTATGTTAGTGTATATTATTAGCTGTTTACATATGAAATCTTTAACGTCATTTTCAAAAGAAGCGAACTTGACTTAACTTTTGCTGCCTTAAATTCTGAGGCAGCTTTCTCTTCCTATGAGATGCAGGACCAATTAAATGTGTGCTTCAAAAACAGGCCTGTTTCAACTACATTAAACACATGCTCTAGCAGGTAACCCTCAACTTCAACAAATGCTTTCAACACTTCAGCAAGAGCAGCAGCAACAGCCTCACCAGTTATCTGATTATGATATTGTGGGTATTGCTTGAACTTATCAAACCATCCTTTGCTTATATGAAACAGCTCTGAGGTTGATAAAATATCTTCAACTAGCATTAAGCAACTGTAAATTTTTAACGCCTTTGCATAAATTATGTTTATGTCAATTGGCAGGTTATTCTGATTCTGGTTTACCCCCTTCCCCAAAACTGCTAATATACAGTATTCTAATTGATTTCTTAGAAGCACCAAGTTGCTTAGATTTGTTCTACATTCTTCCTAATTGCATGAATGCTAGTTTTGTTCATATTATGGCAGTGGCAGATTACCCAGCCTCAAGCATCATCAGGATTGTATTCTTCTCTATCCCTTTCACTCACATTTGCTTCTTTGAAGGGAGTGTGTGTTTTTACCAGATGTAGAAAATATGGAAAACAAAATATTTGTATGAAATTATGAGGAAAAACGTGGTAGTTAAGCATGCAATACGGCGAGGCAAGAATGTCATACATGTGGAGGAAAACAAGTCATGAGAGATACTGCTACACAGTTGCAATGACATGCAACTAAATAGCATCTGAAACTGAAAGACAAGAGCTACAAGAGAGGTTAGAGGCATTAAATATGACAAAGTTAGAAGAGAAGAAAAAGAGGCAATATGATCACTACATACAAAACAGTAATGGAAATTTACAAAATTGATAAGGAAGAATTCTTGAGACCTGAAACTTCAAAAACAAGAAGTCATAGATTTAAGCTAATGAAACAAAGCTGTTGAAGAAATATAAGAAAATTTACTTTTGTAAACAGAGTGGTAGATGGTTAAGTGAGAAGGTGGTGGAGGCCAAGACCGTCAGTAGTTTCAAAGAGATATACAACAAAGAGTACTGGGAAGACGGGACACTACAAGTGTAGCTGTCATCCAGTAATTACACGTAGGTAATGATACAATAACAGATAATGCTGTTTTGACACTTTCAGCAATTTGCACATTTAGGATGTTAGGTCACTTTTGGAGCTATGGTAGTGGGGTTGTGGTTCATTCCTGAATTAGCACTTTTTAATAATGCTTAATGTAAAAGTCCTAAATCTCACTATTTTTTGTAACTTTAGAAATCATTAACTTTAAGTGGAGAAAAACTGCCAACATACCTTTAGGAAGCAAGGAAAATTAAATGGAAAAAATATATATAGAACAATAAACACTATAATTTGAAAAGTGTTAAATCACATTACTCTGCCAACCCAATTATACCCACTTAACTTCACGGTACTGGTGTGTGCAGGCAGATCCCGGAAACCAATGTTAATCAATATGAAAAATCTAATGGAGGCATATCCTAGATCAAGTCCAGAGTAATAAGTCGAGATAAATCTTACCTTCTTGCTCTCGTCATCTGGGTACCGCCAATAACGAAGGTGCAGACCACTTAGTACACACCATCGCCGATTCCAAGCCCCAAACCCTCCAATATCCTCAAACATGGTAAGAAAGCCACGCTCTATAATCCCTCCTTCAAAACTGCAGCTAACACGCATGAGTAGATGGCCATCAAGTGGAGAAGAATAGAGTACCTGGAAATACAAACTAATACACTACTTGCATTTCCTATAAATACAAAAATAACTGTCTATCACTATTTAGTTTCTGGCTAGCCAAAGCAATTGCCAGATCATCAGACGTTATTGTTTTTTATATCCAACTCCTATATCTCTTGTATTTGCATCTGGAAAACTGGTTATATTTACAACAATCCTACAGTTACAATACTGGCTGAATATATTTGTTCATGTGCTTGGTCATGAACAGACCAAATTAAAATGTTTCCACCACTTGTTTGCAATCCACTGATATGATAAAACATTAAATTTTTTACCAGTATAAATGTTTAATTGTATGTAAATTTTCGAAGTGTACAAATTTCTGTGCAGTACATGGGGAATAATTGTAATGTTACCAGAACTGATGATAAAGCTGTAAATGGCTATTGGCAGTTACCATCAATCAATTACTGATATTATCCTAATTTAATTCAAAAGAAAAATAAAGGCATAAGGAAGCCCTATTAATTATTTACAAATATTTAAAAAACAAACGTTGAATGTAATGAATCACCATTTTCTAGGTGAGCCCCGGAGGCTCCCTGGGCTAATGTATGTTACATTAGACCGGGACATTAGCTACCAGGGACCAGTGCCAGAACCTGACCCCTTCAGAGAGGTTTCAGGGAGCAATGGCCCTAGAAAACCCCCTTGTCGTTGGGGGTTTTCCTTATCTGCCATCGACCAGGATTAGGCACCCAGAAAGGTTGGCATAACAAAACAAACCCCAAATGGTAAGAAACTAAAATAAAAAAACGAACAGAGGTAGAAACTCCGTACAATCCCAAGGAAACAAGGAAACAAGCAAACATCACAATTTACTGCCGCGCCAATTGTCCGCACAGCACTCCCCGCCCCGAGATGGGGAGGGGAGCCCCGGACCTCACCTCGCCAGCTGCCTAGCACCAGTTCGGAAGCTAAGCTTCAACCAACGCGAAAAAAACTGACAAATGGGAGGGAGGGTTGCCAGGGAGCCTCCGGGGCTCACCCAGAAAATGGCGTTTCATTACATTCAACGCTGGTTTTCAATTGGGAGCCCCTATGACTCCCTGGAGCTTCATACCCAAAGAGAAGGAAAAGGGCTGACCTGGGAAGCAGCTGCCACAAACTCCGCAACGCGAAGTAGACACAACAGGCAACCCAAAGCAACACAAGAACGCACAGGAGCAGACACGCTCACAAACTGGCGGCCAGGAACTTGTGCGACCCCCAAATCCTTGCGCTCGAATTGAGCCCAAGACGTCACCAAACATGGCAGCGAAAGCTGCAAACATCTGAACGGCACGGGCGCAAGGATAGACTGCAGGCTGGTAGACTAAAGAAAACTGCGGATGACCTGGGAGACCTGAGCTTTAAAACAGAGAACGAGGGGAACCAGATCAACCTAAAGCGCATCCCCATCCATGGCACGCCGGTAACGGCAAAGAGTCGCAACCGGACAACACATTGCACCCCTGGCCGAACCAACCAAGCATCAATAAACGAAGGACTCCACCAGAAAGCAGCCGTCTCGACCGTCGCCAGGACGGAGCATGGCTGCAAGCGTACAAACCTACCCCAAGTACCAAAAGAGCAGAAACCTCTGCGCTGGAGAGCCAGAAGCTTCCCAACCCGACCCACAGAGACCAACGCCAACAAAGTACGGCCTTTGAAAACCAATCTTGAACCGAAGGGGCTACCACAAACTGAGGAGAGGAAGGTTAAAAGGGTACCCCTGATCAAGGACCAGGATGGTTCAGGCGACGCATGAGCAGGCCAGAGGTGAAACAATATGAGAAGCGTATGGAATGCGGCGGATGTGAACGCCCACCCCGTATTGTGCGGCACTGGCGGAGCCAGTGCTGCACAATATGAGGCAACAGTAAGAAGCATCAATTAACAGACATGAAAAACCCAAGAAAGGACAAGACAACCTGATGGGAAAGAGAAGACAACCTTTGAAGAGCAAGAAAATGACAAATAGAAATGCCAGGAACGTCGTACTGTCGCCGAGACGAAGCTCGCAGGTGGGACACCATCAGCTAAGCCACCTGATCATCATAGAGATGGTGATACACCCGTGTCAGCAGAGCACGCGCAAAGAGCCGAGGAGAAGGCCGAACCAGTCACGTACAGGATCGGTCCGACCTGCCGAAAGAGGCGGAGCCGCGTGAAACGCCCCAGGTTTGGACACCTATCAAGCAGTGTCTGAAAAGAAAGATGGGCGGGCCAGCAAGGCACCACAAGGACTACTCTCCTTGGGATGGACTCTAACCGAACCAGAACCCAAAGCAACAGCTGAACCAGAAGAGGAACAGGTAACTCCACCTCAACCAGTCCTGCCGAAGGTATCCACTGTGAACGCTTCGCAGGCGGGTAAGAGCGCCACATAGAATGGGAGACGCTGAGACCACGCCGACACGAAGATGTCCATACATTCAATAGAGGCAACGAAATGACTTGGCAACAACCGCCCAAACCGTGAACAGAGGAATGAACTGAGAGAGGCTGTCCGCCATGACGTAGGACACCCTGGACATGAAATGCATAGCTAGCCAAACCTCGAGGATCCAGCAGATGAGCCACTCGAAGGGACCAACCCCAAAGGTCAAGGACCTAAGAGAATCCCTGTGGTTCCGGCAATAAACCACCGAAAAACAGTTCGAATGGAGCCGGATGGGAGAGCCCCGAGTGACCCGAACCCTCTGAAGCGCAAACCAGACAGCCACAAACTCCCAAACCGTGCTGTGAGCCCGATGGACGGATGAACCCCACCTTCCCCGGTCGGCCTGGTGAGCACTGGCCACAAAGCCTCAGCCGAGAGATGACCCGTCCGTGAACACATCGAGCGAAGGCTCGGGGAGGCACCAAGGCACGAACCCCCGAAAACCCAAAAGAGGAAGCCAGTGACGCAGCACAAACACAAGATCCCCGGAGGACGAACCCAACGATTGCGAGAGGTGGAAGGGGAGTCCCCGAAGGAACCGAACAGACTCCGAAGCCAAACCTCACTCGACGGGCAGACCAGCACAGTGAAGTTCAGACTCCAGCACAACCACTCGAGCAACCGCCGAGTGACCCGGGACCCCCCTCATAAACAGCCGAAGGTGGGACCACAGCCGCAGCAATGCTTCGGGAGGGAAAGACAAAGAGGCGGTCCAAGAGTCCTAAATAAGACCCGGTCAGGTCCGAACTCCGGGACGGAACCAGTTGGAGTGACCTCCAGATCACCAGGAATCCAAACCCGGCAATCTGGAAAGAACCACACCCCTGGCGAGCAGACAAGCTGACCGACTGGGAACCCACACCAGCCAGTCGTCGAGGTAGGCCAGAAACCGAATCCCGAGCAGATGCAGACAGGTCACCAAGATCCGGTAAAAATGCGTAAATACACTAAGTGCCAATGAAAAACTAGGGAAGGCAACAAGAGTGGCAAGCCTGAAGCCCCACCACCAACTGTGCCAGTCCCGGAACCCTGGAGAGGAACGTGCCAAGAAGTGACCTGCAGGTCCAGGGACACCATCCAGGCACCCAGCCCAACAGAAGCCAGACCAGATACAACAGTCTTCCGAAGAGGGCAAAGAATCCAGGGCGCAGACTACGTAAGTTCAGGAGAACCGCAAGGCCCATGTCTGCATTAGAACAGGCGCGAACCTTGGAAGGATGGGGCGGAACGACCACATCCAAACGCACCCACACCAAGATGACATGACATGAAGCACAGGGGAAGAAGCCCACCCCGCCAGCCCTGAACCCCTCAAAGGGGAAGAAGCCACCCGACGCCACCAGAGGCTGGAAGACAACCACAAGTGAGAGCCAACAGAGCAAGCTGCTTCCCCAGCGCCCCATCAACAGCAAAGGGAATGGAACCCCTTCCAAAAGAAAATGTACAGTATATATATATATAAACACACATATACATACATGTAAATAAAATTGAAAAAATAAAATAAAGAAAAGACAAGCCACCGACCGGTGGGCAGAGAGCACTACGCCGGCCAGACGAAGAAGGCACCAAGAGCACAAAAACAGCACCAAAAGGCCCACCTCGACAACAAAAACCCAAGGCCCTGGTCACAACACGTGCCAAGACCCAAAAAGATCAGCCTGCAAGCCAGGAAGACCCCAGAACCCCAGAAGGCAGAACCGGGTCACAAACATGGTAACAAAAGCCCCGAATTCACAAATGGGGCCCAAGAGGAAGAAACCTCCGAAACGAAACCAAAGAACCCAAAGGAACCCGGAATCGAACCTGGGGGAGCCCAAACTACCACATTTGCCAGCGGAATTATACCACAGCAGGGCAAAGTACAGCACCCAAACAGAACCCCCAAGGAAACGGCCAAAACAGACCGAAAACCAGGGGACAAGGTGTAGGAGCAAGCATAAACAGACAGGGACAGAGCCCAAACCCTAGGGCACAGACAGAAAACGCAAAAACCGGTGTAAAAACCAACACCCGAGCATTTACCTAGTGTTGGTAAAAACCAACACTAGGCCCCTGTGTACAATCACAGGGGCCTAGCAGAGGTCCACCAAACACTACCAGTGGAACTATAGCCACACTTGGCAGACCCCCACCAGGCAAAGAAAATAAAAACAAAAGAAAATCCCCGCAAAAGTACACCGCCCCCAGAGGCAACAAAGTACACCCCCCAGAGAGGCGGGGAGGGTTGCATGGACAATTGGTGTGGCAGTAAATTGTGATGTTTGCTTGGGATTGTAGGGAGTTTCTACATCTCTGTTCGTTTTTTTGTTTCAGTTTCTTACCATGTGGGGTTTGTTATGTTATGCCTACCTTTCTGGGTGCCTAACCCCGGTCAATGGTAGATAAGGAAAACCCCCAACCACAAGGGGGTTTTCCAGGGCCTGAAACCTCTCAGAAGGGGCCAGGTTCTGGCTTGGGTCCCTGGTAGGTCTGAACTCCATAGCTAATGTCCCGGTCTAATATAACATACATTAGCCCAATAAGCTCCAGGGAGCCGTAGGGGCTCCCCACAGAAAATACTGTATCAAGACACCAAGAAATTCATGACATTTTTTCAAAAGTACTTTACTGTATTACAAATGGTAACTCCATTGCCTAGTCACATTGGGGAGCATTCTTACCAGTCATGGGAGTATGACCAAAGAAGTTTTGGAAATGACAGTGAACACAATATTCCTAAGGCCCAGAACTTCTCTCTTCCATGCAAGTCTCAGATGTTTATGCAGAATATAGTTTCCCTTACTATGCCTACAAAGAAGCCTATCTTTTTCAATTAAAGATATGCTATTTACAATCTTTGTAAGAGTATTTATTAAGCCATAAAAGCCATCTTTAATGCTAGCATTTTTGCAAGAAATATATCCAAATCTCCCCATGACGCTAAAATTTATGGTGGTTTATACTCATAGTACATATTATTCATACTAGATTAAATCAACTCCATCTAAATTAGATGGAGAGAACTAAAAGTGAACATAAACTACTACAAAGCATACTATGAAAAGCATATACCTTCTCGAGAGTCCAGGCATTTCGTGTTAAAGTAGAGATATTAAGGTGAGTGAACCCAACAAGCTGGAAAGCTGATGTGCGAACAGCAAAGGGTCCACCTGGAGACTGGACAGATGGAGAGCTCACTCGAGAGTCATGCTTTTGTAGCCTCTTGAGTGGAGTTAACTTCATTCGGCTCTGCTCCTGTTGTAAAAAAATAAGCATATAAATAATGAAGTATACATAACACCATATTTTCCTCTGATACCTAAATTATGTACCTAATTACATGGTACATAAGGAAAGCACAAAGTTGTAAGCCTACAACTTAAGTACAAGATGAATGTGTCTTGTGTGATTAACTTACACACACACAAAAAAAAAATCTTACACATCTTAAAAAAAAAAAAAAAAAAAAAACTTCACTATGTACATTGTGAAATACTTGAGACATGTGTTCCACGGTTCATTTCTGAACCGTGGAACAACCAAATTAGGAGAGAGATGAGTGAGCAATGCAAGCTTAAATGCCGACACGAGCATTGTACATATCATATGGAAGTGAGACTGATTTGCCTTTGACCAGTTTTGAATTTTTACTCACTTCGTGGTGTGAGAATTGGTCTTGTTAGTGATGGTTTGAGAAAACATACTAATGCTGCTTGAAATTCAAAGACCCACATAGCTATCGCAACCTAACCAGATTCGGCACTTCCTACAAAAATTTCTTATTCTACAGAACGCACTGTAACTTCTAATTTAAGTCTAGTACTACTGTATATAGATTCAAGACCTGAAGTTATATTTTATTAATCTACTAAGAGTTAACCCCTATGCCAGAGTATATATACCAAGTAATTACCTAAGTATAGTTACAGGATGAGAGCTATGCTTAGTGTCCTGTCTGCTTAGTACAGTACTCTGTCATACAACGCTATGAAACTACAGATGGTTTAGGCATCCACTGCCTTCTCAACTTGTTTCATCTGTCTACCACTATTCGAAAAAGAGAACTTTCTAATATTTTTGGAACCCTTGTTTCCCTAGCTTGAATCTACAATCTCTTGTTCTTGAAGTTGAAGGTTTCAGAAATTCCTTTTGTCAGTTCCTGGTACTGTTTAGTCTGCAGTGATCATATTGGCTCTTCATTTCTTCTTCTGTCTTCTACCTTTGGGATATTTAATTCCTCTAGCCTCTCCTCATTGCTATCCATTTTCAGTTCCAGAAGCCATTTAGCAGCATGACTTTGCACCTTTTCCAGTTCATTGATGTGCTTCTTGAGATATGGGGACCATACAACTGCTGCATATTCAAATTTTGGTCACACAAAAGTTGTGAACAATTTCTTCAATATTTCACCATCCATGTATTTAAAACCAATTCTAAAGCTGGAAAGTGCAGCATACCCTCCTTGCACATGCTGCACTTTCTAACTCCAGAATCACTTTTAAATCATGGATGGTATTTAGATGTAGAAAACCACTTAGGATGAGATTAAACTTTACTCATAGATAAAGTTTTGCTGGCAAAGATTTAATCAACACTAACATACATAATATGCACAATGAAATCACATTAACGTGATGCATCAGTGAGAAAATCAGTAGGAGCCATGAGGAGGATTCAAACCCACTCACTTGGTACTAGCTAGCACCCTTGACGCTAGCTAGTAACATGATATATCAATGAGAAATTAGTATTAACGAGATATATTATAATACATGATATATCAATGAGAAAATTAATCGATGAGAAAATAATTTTCTCATTGATACATCATGTTAATGTCATTTCACTGTGCATTTGACAAGAAGCATTGGAGGAGAACTATGTAAAGCTAGAATGTGTGGGAGCAATGCTTAAAACCCTGATCAAGCTTCAGTTGTAAACCTTGGGAGTCGTAGAGGATTCAGTAGAATCCCAGTTTGCACAAAAAACCAGCATTGAATGTAATGGAACACCATTTTCTGTGTGAGACCCGGAGGCTCCCCGGAGCTATACTGGGCTGATGTGTATATATTAGACCGTGGCAACAGTCAATGGAAGGAGTTCTAAGCCTACCAGGGACCAGAGCCAGAACCTAACCCCCTCAAGAGAGGCACGAGGAGCAATGGCCTAAAGACACCCCTGTGTAATTGGAAGCAGTCTTTGTCTGCCATCTACCAGGTCGGGCACCCAGAAAGGTAGGAAATTAAAAACAAACTACTGCTGGCCAAAAAATTGCAAACTAAAAACCGAAAAAGCAAACAGAACTCCCCAATCAAAAACCGGGAAACAAACATGACATCACCACAACTGCCGCGCATCCGTCTGTGCAACCCCCTCTCCCCGAGAGGGGGGGGGGGGGGGGGGTCCCAGACCTCCACGCCAGCAACTCTCCCCAGTTCAGAGGCCGACTATTAAAAATGTGAAAACCGCCGACCGGAGGGGGGAGGGGGAAGTATGTCGGGAAGCCTCCGGTTCTCACCCAGAAAATAGCGTTTCATTACATTCAATGCTGGTTTTCTGTGGAGAGCCCCTTCGGCTCCCCGGAGCTACCTAACCAAAGATAAGGAAAAAGGGACTCACCCGGGAGGCGGTCGTCACTCGCTCCTCAACTCAAAGTCGAGAAAACTGGTTGCAACCTGCGACCCAAGACTATACACCCCCGAGAAGAACATTAAAAAGGTAATGTGCAGCCAGGACCCTGATCAACCTCCCAAAGCCTCGTGCCCGTAGATAGGCTAGGCCACATACCAAAACAGCAGCCGAATGGCGAACTTACGAAAGGCATGGGCACGGGAATAGACCACAGGCTGGCAGGACCGAATAATCCTGCGGACAACCTGGGAGAAGGGAAACAGGGTCAACCCAAGGCGTGTCCTTTGCCACAGAGGCTGTGGTGTGCAAATAATGGCGATGAGCCACAGACACAAAACATGATGCACCCCTGGCCGAAGCAACCAAGCATCAACAACCCAAGGACCCCTTCGGAAAGCAGCAGACTCATTCTTCACCAGAAAAGAAGAAGGCTGCAAACAAACGAAACGACCACAGGACTGAAAGAGCAGAAACCCCTGCGGCAGCGGAGAACATGAAGCTCCCTGACCCATCCCCCAGAGGTCAATGCCAAGAAAAGAGCCTTAGAAAAAGTCCTGAACCAAGGGGGGTCACCACAAACAGAGGAAGAGAGAGAAGAAGGGTGCACCCAGTCCAAAGACCAGGCCGGAGGTGAAACAACGCCCGAGAAAGCTTGCGGAACGGAGCAGAAGTGACATCCACCCTGAATGCAAGCTGCAGCGGCTCTGCCAGCACCACACGATACGAGGCAACAGTATTTGGCATAAGATGACGGTCCTAAAACAACCAAGGGAGAAAGGACAAAACCCAATCAGAAAACAAGGACAACCTACGAAGAGACAAAAATGCCGAAAGGACCGCCATGAAATTTCATACTGCCGTCTACATGAAACTCGCAGGTGGGACACCACCAACAAAGCCATCTGATCACCATACAAGTGGTGATACACCCGCGTCAAAAGGACCAGACGCGAAGAGTAGAGGAGAAGATCGAACCAGCCACGTACAGGACCGGACTGATCTGCTGAAAGAGGTGGAGTCGCGGGAAGACCCTCGGGTTCAGACAGTGAGCAACAAGCGCCTGAAACCAAGGAGCCAACAGGACTACTCTCCCCCCTGGTAAGTCTCCAACCGAGCCAGGATCCGGAGCAACAACCAGACCGGAGGGAAGAGGTACAGGTAACTCCACCTCAACCAGTCCAGCCGAAAGGCATCGACCCCGACGGCCTTGCAGTCTGGGAAGGGCGCCACATAAACTGAAAGACGCCTCGACCACGCCGATGCGAAGAGGTCCACCTCTGGGCACCCGTACGTCCAGCAGAGCCAACTGAACGAGTCGGCGTCGACCGTCCATTCCGTGGAAAGGGGAATGAACTGAGACAGGCCGTCCGCCAGGACGTTTGACACCCCCTGAACATGAACTGGCAGGAGAGCCAAACCCCAAGAACTCAGCAGACGAGTCACCCGAAGCGACCAGCCCCAAAGAACCAAGGACCGCATCGAATCCCGCGGTTCAGGCAATGAACCACCGGGGAGCAGTCCGAATGGAGCCAGATTGTTGCTCCTCGAGCGACCCGAATCCTCTGAAGCGAATGCCACACCGCCGCAAACTCCCGCGCCATGCTGTGAGCTCGACGGAAGGATGGACCCCACCGACCCTGGCCGGCATGGTGAGCACTTGTCACAAAACCCCAGCCGAGAGACGAGGCATCCGTGAACACATCGAGCGAGGGCTCGGGGAGGCGCCACGGCACAGAACCCCGAAAAACCCGCAGAGGAAGCCGGCGACGCAGCAGCTGACACAAGGCTCCCGGGATCCGAACCCATCGATCGCGAGAGCAGCGGAAGGGACGACCCCGAAGAAACCAGATCTGACCCAATGGGTAGACGAGCATGGCGAAGGTCAGGCTCCCGCACAGTCGCTCGAACAACCGACGTGTGACCCGGGTGCCCTCCAAAAACAGCCGGAGGCGGGACTGCAGCCGCAACAGCGTCGCAGGAGGGAGAGACAAGGAAGCGGTCCGAGAGTCCCACACAAGACCCAGCCAAGTCCGAACCTGAGAGGGAACCAAATGGGACTTCCTCCAGTTCACCAAGAACCCGAACCCGACGAGCTGGGAAAGAACCATATCCCTGGCGAGCAGACAACACGGACTGGCTGGGAGCCCACACCAGCCAGTCGTCGAGGTAAGCCAGAACCCGAACCCTTAACAGACGCAAACAGGTCACCACGACCCGGGTAAGGCGTGTGAACACTCGAGGTGCCAGATTCAAGCCGAATGGAAGGCAACGAAAGCGGTAAGCTTGTTGCCCCACGACAAAACCGAGCCAGTCCCTGAACCCCGGATGAATCGGGACGTGCCAATATGCGTCCCGGAGGTCCAGAGACACCATCCAGGCACCCGGCGCCAAAAGCAGCCGGACCCGAGACAGAGTGGTCATCCGAAAGGAGGAGCAAAAGACCCAGGGATTCAGACTAGACAAGTCCAGTATGAATCGCAGATCCGCACAGTCCCGTTTCGGAACTGAAAACAGGCGGGAAACCCACCTGAGGGACGTTGTCGTTTCGACCACACCCAAGCAAACCCACTCCCGGATGACCTGACAGAGCACAGGAGAAGAGGCCCACCCTGCCAGCCCCGATCCCCCCGGAGGAGGAGTGACCCAACGCCACGGCAGGCCGGAGGAAACAACCTGAAATGCCCACGAAATGTGGGACCAGGGGAGAGCAAACAATGCGAGCCTCCCCCTATCACTCCATCAACGGGGCAACCCGCGAAAGGGCAGACAACCCCTACATGAGCCCAACCGACACTGAGAGCGATCACTACGCCGACAGCTCCGAATCTGGCACTAATGGCTTATGACGACCGAAGGAACCCTGAGACCTGGCACGACCCTTCCGGGCAGGACCTCCATGCCCCCCCTTCCCCGGGAGAACCAACAAGTCCGACAAAGGCCATCAACTAGATGAAGCCACCTGCAGAAAATGCACCACCGCAGACTCTGCAAACAGCAACGGACAAAAAGGGGATGAAAATCTAAGAGCCAGGGCCCAAGACGATTCCAAAATTTGGACGAGCACCGCCTGTCAGCACGCGAGGCGAGAAGCGAAGAACAGACACCGCCTCCCTCAGAAACGGCGCATACAACTTCACCAAAGCAGCCGGCACCCGAGCTGCTGAAGCAAGCCCACCGGACCCTGGCCTGGAACCCAGCTCCTCCACACCCAGCACGAGCCAGTCCGAAGACAGCTCCAGCAGGGAAAAGAAGCGCAAGACCGAAGCCAAGTGCCCATGGACGCACAAATCCTCGGCCACCAGGGATGCCGAAAGGGAGGGAACCTGCACGTGAAGCCGCACCTGGCCGACATCATAAGGAAGGACGGGGGCGAACAAGCACGCCTTGAGGTGCTCCAACTCACCCCCCAGGAAAACCTGAACGACCGTAGGCAACTCTCGCCATTCAAGTGCGCAGTCCGACAGGACGAATGCCAAGCCCCCCATGAAGAAAAAGCAGTCTGCCAGCCAGGAAGACTCCGGCACCTTGTAACGCACCCAATAAGGAAAAGAGGAGCCAAACTCAAAAAGAAGAAGGCTTCAATATCGAGGCGTAATCCGGGTCTCGCAGGAGGTAAGCCGCAAGGGGCCTCCCACACCTTCCTCGGTGGGATGCGGGAAGCCAAAAACCTCCAGAAGGAGGGAACCGAAGAACCCAAGGGAACTCGGAACCGAACCCGGGGAGGAGTCGAACTCATAACAAAATCATACAGGGAGGGGGATAGGAAAACCCCTCCCCCTGTAACAACAAGCCCTGCACCGAGGGTACCAAACACCCAAGCAGGGACCAGTGGGGCCCAGGGCTCCCCCAAGTCAACTCCTCCCCAGCCCTGGAATCCTCCACGTCAGGACCCGGGGCCGAGCCGTCCTCCAAACCCTCTGCCTTTGGAGAAAAAGCAGAGTCCACCGGAAAAGCAGGGATGAAGGGGGGCCCACTGGCGTGGCCCAAAAGCTCCGGCAGGAGGACCAGGCTCGAATGCCTCCGCCGCCAATCCGGAAGGGGCAAACCCCGAAGCCGCCCGAGTCTCACTACCAGTATAATTCAACGTGGGCAGCTGCGGGGCATCCGGAAAGGCAACCAACCTCGCACGTTGCTGCAACTTAAACCACGCATGCAATGCTAAAGCTGCCTGCACCCAAATATCAGTCTCAGTGGACTGGGTGAGTTGGAGTACAAGCAAAGAACACCACTCGCAGGACTCCGGGTCATAGGTGTCACTGACCCCAATAGGCAGCAAGGCGGAGGCAGACGGTGTCACCCTGAGACAGGGGGGACAGAGCAACCTTCAAACTCGTACAAGGCGAGGTGGAACTCAGGGGTCTCCTACATTGGACCACTGAGCCCCAGTGCGAACGAGCTTCCAGGGCCCATAGGCTGACTGCTAAGGAAAGCCCAGGTGAGGTACTGCTAACCAGTTATCCCAGAGATACCAAGCAAACAATCTAAAAGCTGAACCCCTGTGACGTGTGCAAGCACGGGGACCTAGTGGAGGGCCACCAAAAACCTACTAGTGGTCCTACCACCACACCTGGCAGACCCTTGCCAGGCAAAACAAAACAAATACAAAAGAAAAACCCCGCAAAGCACAATGTCTCCAGTTGAACAGAACCGGTCGCTATGAGTATATCAGAGCTGCACAGTATCTCGCGCCCCAGCCAGCGACGAAACTACCTCCTACCCAAGAGAAAACAGGATTAAGAACCACCCCAGCTGAACCCCCAAGGGCGGTAAATCACAGAGCAGCGACAGAACCACACGGAGGTAGCTGCTCCTGAACGGCTCATGGAATATGACCCTGAAGCCGCAAAGGCAGGACTTACGGGGCACCTAGGGAAGTTAGCCCTAGATGCATGCAGCCCCAGTACTCTTGTGTAACTCCTGGCTCACACACCACCACACTGCAGCACTGCGCAAAGAGTGGAGCCAGAGCGATCGACCCTTCATCATCACAACAGCCTTTGAACTGGGGAGAGTTGCCGGCGTGGAGGTCTGGGACCCCCCGTCCCCCTCCCGGCGAGGTGGGGGTTGCGCAGATGGATGCGCGGCGGTTGTGGTGACGTCATGTTTGTTTCCCGGTTTTTGATTGGGGAGTTCTGTTTGCTTTTTCGTTTTTTTATTTGCAATTTTTTGGCCAGCAGTAGTTTGTTTTTAAATACCTACCTTTCTGAGTGTCTTTAGGCCATTGCTCCTCGTGCCTCTCTTGAGGGGGCCAGGTTCTGACTCTGGTCCCTGGTATTCCTAGAATTCCTTCAATTGACTGTTGCCACAGTCTAATATATACACATCAGCCCGGTATAGCTCCGGGGATTCAAAGGGGCTCTCCACAGAAAAAATTATTCTGAAGTCAAAGACTTCAAATAAAATCAGTGGAACTTAATGGTACAGTACTTGACTCGGATTCAAATTATCAGTCTACACGAACGAGCTTCAGCAGAGAAAATGGAGGCAGCAAAAGATTCTGAGCAACCACAAAGGGGATGCAAGATTAGAAGGCTTATTTGCTAAGGTTCCTTACGAGTTTTTTGTGACAATCCAATATTTGAAGTGTACACCAACAAGAAACAAGCAAGGTATACCTTTTTTATTACATGTTGTCGCTGTTGGCGCGTACACAGAGCATACACCTCGAGGGTAATGTTGAAATCAGAAGTGAGGTGATGGAGGGCCATAAGATTAGGGAATGTTACTGCCCCTTCCACAACACATTCCGGTGTTGTCAGCAACTGAGAAGATATCACCTGCTCACGATGCTTCACCAGAACCATCAGATGATACAAATCATCACCTGTAAGAAAGGTCATTCATGAAACATACCACATCTCAAGCTTGAAGTGCATGCAAGAGGTAACTGTGTAATACAAAATATAGTAAAATGCTCCACAATTGTTGAGGCCAATTAAGCAATGTGAAACCATTAACAACTCGGGCCGGGCCAGGCTCAGGCAGGGCTTAGGGAGTAGAACTCCCAGAACTCCATCAAGCTGGTATAACTATATGAACTAATACTATAATTACATCCAGAAATTTTGGGGGGAAGTCATGAAAAAAAAAAAAAAAAATCACCTCGCTAATTGCACCATGAGCATGCTAATTTCACTTATCATACTTATTGATAATGGGTGCTTAATGAGCACCCAAATCACTAATATACTTAAACTAGAAATGCTTATTAGCTACGTGGGTATTTCTTGGCCAGCATCCCTCTGGTAACATACAAGGTAGTGCCGTCACTGTGATGAGGTATGGTGTGGTGGTGAAGATAATGGTTGCAGTTGGCAGTGGGTGATAGTGGGTGGTTGTGGGCGACAGTGGGTGGTTGCGGGTAGCAGTGAGTGGTTTGATCTACATTTGAAACTGTGTATGAAGTCTTCCTCCGCCACATCATTGCCTAATACCTGTATATGCCATTTCTCAACTACTGACACTGAGAAAAAAATATTTCTAGTGTCTCTTTGGTTCATTTGAGTACAGGGGCACCTCGAATTATGACTGCCCGGACTTACAATAATTTCAAGTTACAATATAAATTTGACTGAAAAATGCGACTCGACTTACAATAGTGTCGTCAACTTATGATATTTGTTGATACATGTACTGGTCGACCGAGCGCATGGGTTCCCGGCCGACCTGCCTCAGTTTACTAGAGCTGCCTGCTTAGTGATGATCACGCTTATAAGAACTTCTATTTTTTTTTTTGCTTCTTGAACATAAAACTGATTATTATATACAGTATCATGCCATGGGTCCCAAGAAAGTCAGTGGTAAGGTTCAACATATGAAAACACATGTAAGAATGACAACAGAGCTAAAACAAGAGATCATTTGTAAATATGAAGATGGTCTGCTGGTTGCTGAACTAGTTAGGCAGTACAACAAATCTCAGTCAACAATATCCACCATACTTGCTAAGAAAAATGAGTGCTAGTGACAAAAGGTGGATCAATAATCACGAAACATACAATACAAACACTTGAGGATGTTGAACAGTTATTATTAATTTGAATACACAGCAAACAGTTAGCAGGTGATACCGTTCCAGAGGTCATCATTTGTGAAAAAGCAAGGAAATTGCATGAAGATGTTTAAAGAAAACCCCATGGAACGAATGCAAATGCGAAAGAGTTTAAGGCGAGCAGGGGATGGTTTGAGAAATTTAGAAAAAGAAGTGAAATTCATAGTGTTGTGAGTGTTGTGTGTTGCGAGCTGGTGGAGGAACACAGCGAAGAACTGACCACCAAAGAACTTCACAAGGGGCAGCAACACGAGACAGCTGAAGAAATTTCTTCAGGGGAGGAGGAGACAGTACAAAATGTCCCTTCCTCATTAATTAAGAAAATGTGTGCAGCATGAGAAGAATTGCAAACTTTTGCTGAAACGACTCGCCCAAATCACGGTGCAGTAGGCCGTTGCCTTAACCTTTTTGATGAAAGTGTAATGCCTCACTACAGACAAAAATTAAAACGTATGGAAAAACAAAAATCTGTGGAAAGGTTTTTAGTGAGACAAACAAGCAGTGAATCACAACCAGGTCCTAGCGGTATGAAGGCAAAACATAGGAGAGTGTGCCCCAGAGAAGTCATCACTGCCTGATGTTATAATGGAAGGGGACTCCCCTTCCAAACAGTAACACCTCTCCTCCTCCCCATCTTCCATAGGTCGTCAAGAGTCCTCCATAAAGGTAAGATAAACGTATGTACTGTACTGTAGTTAGAGAAAAAAATTGTATTCAGTATAAAATGTATTTTTAAGTTAATATTTTTGGGGGTGTGGAACGGATTAATTCAATTCCCTTTATTTCTTATGGGAAAAATCGTTTCAACTTACAATACGTATCTAGGAACATATTACCATTGTAAATCGAGGGCCCACTGTACTAGGTTTCCACCTGTGTCCCCTTGTTCATGTTTTGCCCATGCTAAATAGTTTGTCTTTGTCTACCTTGTCAATTCCTCTGGATATTTTGTTGGTAGTGATCATGTCTCCCCTAACTCTAGTGACTCTCAGAGAAGTGAGGTACAAGTCCTGTAGTCTTTCCTCGTAGCTCATACCTCTCGGCTCCGGGACTAGTCTGGTGGCATACCTCTGAATCTTCTCAAACTTTGTCTTATGTTTAACTAGGTATTGACTCCAGACAGGAGCTGAATATCCAGGATTGGTCTGACATATGTGGTATACAAGGTTCTGAATGATTCCTTACACAAGTTTCTAATGACAGTTCTTGTGTTGGTCAATCTTGCATATCCTTTTGAATTGGGATTCTCGGGACAGGTTTAGTGTGATATCAACCCTCCCCCCCCCACAGATCTTTTTTGCTACTGGATTCTTGAAGCATATCACCTCCCAGATGGTACCTTGTGTTCACACTCCTGCTCCCTGGTATGTTGCTTAAAAGTGAATCAAAAACATGCACAGCACTGTGCTGCATTTATTTCTTATTAATCATCACCTCTTTTTATATATTGATACGCATGTCCCATTTAGTATTGTTGCTTCACCCATACATGCTTACATAGATTATTATATATACAAAAAATATCTCTTGCTATTATTGTCTTTCACCCAATCCACATACAGTATGTACAGCAGCCTTATTATACAGTTAATGCTGAAATAATTAAATATGAAGGAAAAAGAGGAATATATGATCTCACATCAACATATACACATTTGTTCATAATGAAATTATACCTCTTACCATTCATTCCTTTTCTAAGAAAGTCTTGTTTAAGTGGAACAGATATGTTACTGATGCTGATGGAGCCCATGCATGTATCCTCATCACCAGACCAACTCTGCTGCCCTAAGGCACCCTCAGCCTTAAGTCTCTGTAAATATATCAAATTGGAATTTAATACTTTATAACTGTTTATCCAACTGATACAAGTGGGAACAAAGCAGTGGTTTAAATAAATGTCTTCTACATTATTGGAGTTCAATAAAACTATTACCTCCGTACACTTAGGAACTAATTTATTTGAAACTACCATTTACAGTCTTAAGTACACTATCTCTCAATTAAAAATCATGCACACTATTATTAAAAAAAGTCCCCATTAGTTCTCCACTTCAAGTTTGATAATATCTTCCCCAGCTGTCATCCAGCACACATTCCACATGACTAAGCCATGACTTATTCCCTTTGGGTTTTGGTACTTTTATTCTTATTTTAACCCATTCTCCTAATCTAGTGAAATTCCAAAAGGTTCATTCATACTTTTACTTCAGTGACATTTGCCACTTAAAATACTGTACCTGAATTTCATTCAATGCTGTCTGTCTCTTCTGACTGGCAAGAAGCAAAAGCTTCTCAGCCTCCACATGCTGTGGTGTTCCCTGTTGCTCAGGACGCTGAAGCACCACCGTAACAGCATTAGAAGCCTGGGCAATTACTCGCTGCTGTTCACATACCTGTAATTGATATCGAAATTAGTATATTAGAGCAATGTTATCAGGGTTTTCAACAAAATATAGTGTACTTTAGATGTAAATTTGAAAAAAAAAAATAATAGTTTATCAGAAAGATACAAATACAACTTTTGCTAGGATCCTACCTCCTCTTGCAATTCTTTGATGCGAGCACTAACGGTGACAGATGGGCTTACAGGTTCTGGAGTTGGAGAACGCAAGTCTGGTCGACGAGCAATCTGTCGCACAGGAGTGTAAATCACTTCCTGTTGGAATAGATATGCTAATGAACTATTTTGCTGATGAACTAACAATAAAAATTTATGACACTTCCTTGAAAGATTGCAATCTTCCTATATTGTAATGTAAACCAAAAAAAAAACACAAAATGCTTCAAACTTTTATTAATATTAACAGCTTACCGGCTTTTGCTTACGATACAAGGAGATACTGTGGGTAAGAGGATTCTCCTTGTCGTCTTCAGTAGGCTTAGGTGTCTGGCTGTTTATCTTTGGAGTCTTATAGGCACTTACCGGCTATGTTAAGGAAATAAAATTTAATTTGCTTAATTACAAAGGCCAATAAAATGAAGTGAACCAGACTACACTCTAGAAGGTGAGGGGACGACGACGTTTCAGTCCGTCCTGAACCATTCCCAAGTCGATTGTGATGAGGGAGTTCATGCAGCCAATAAATAGGCAAGAGAGAGGTGAGGAGCAAGGTAAGGTGTAGTGGAGGGGATAGTAGTACGAATAAGAACTGCAGAAGGCCCATATGAGGCAGCTCCTATTATAACCACCGAATGAGAAGGGGATAGTAATAGGAATCAGAAGAGGACAGCAAGGGAACGTAAGAGAAAACAATGAACAGAAAAAAGAGAGAAGAGAGAAAGAAAAGGAAAGAGAAAGAAAGATAAATGGAAGGGTAAGCTTATGTTAGGTCACGTTTGTTAGAACGTGAACGTTAGAACATTTTCTAGCAAACGTGACCTAACATAAGCTTACCCTTCCATTTATCTTTCTTTCTCTTTCCTTTTCTTTCTCTCCTCTCTTTTTCCTGTTCAATGTTTTCTCTTACGTTCCCTTGCTGTCCTCTTCTTATTCCTATTACTATCCCCTTCTCATTCGGTGGTTATAATAGGAGCTGCCTCGTATGGGCCAATGGGCCTTCTGCAGTTCTTATTCCTACTACTATCCCCTCCACTACACCTTACCTTGCTCCTCATCTCTCTCTTGCCTATTTATTGCCTTCATGAACTCCCTCATCACAATCGACTTGAGAATGGTCCAGGACAGACCGAAACGTCATCGTCCCTTCACCGTCTAGTGTGTGGTCCGGTCAACATTCTTCAGCCACGTTATTGTGACTCATCGCCTGCAAAATGAAGTGAACTTTAAAGAATAAATCATATATTCCGTAGTCCTCTTCCATTTTAAACATGAAGGAATGGAACAGGTATACTGATGCAGAATAACTAAATTATCAGCAATATCTCACAATATTGCTTATTGTATAAAGTAGTAAAAACAAACAATTCTCATAATTAAACATACATGTGATAAAGTAAATGTATTTTAATTCATCAGTCAAATTTGAATTACTGATAGTTACACTTACAGAGTCATCCTGATGACGAAGTCTTTTGGGTGGCGTTGGTTCATCATTTAGAGCCTCATCAATAGCATTATCAATTGCACAAAGAGCGTCCATTGTACTTTCTGACATGACACAATTTACCTAAAATTGAAGACAAAACATTTTTATTTACAGTGTGAATTTTGTGTATGAATATCCATGAATAATGTATAGTACCTGTAGGCTTACCTATTAGGCATTGTCAGAATTGTTTAAAGTTCATTTATACACAAAAGCACACAGGGGCTTTCCAGTTACAGTGGTACCTCGGTTTATGAGCTCCCCTCGTTACGAGTTTTTCGGGTTACGAGCAGGATTTGCTCGGAAAATTTGTATCGGGATACAAGGGTTGCCTCAGGATATGAAGTGTTGATACGCGTACAAGGCGACTAGTGCGACTAGTAGCCGCTCAGTTTACCAGTGCCTTGTGCCCAGTGACTATACCGTCTCAATTCTTCACCAGGATTTACAGTGTTTTGTTGGATATTTGGCCATTTGAACATAAAAGTTGTTATTATATATCTCGCAATGGATCCCAAGAAAGCCAGTGGTAAGGTTCAACCTAAGAAAGTAGTTGAGTAGAGGATGTCCCTTCCTCATTAAGAAAATGTGTGAAGTATGGGAAGAATTGCAAAGTTTTGTTGAAAAAACTCACCCAGATAAAGCTGTAGCATGTTGTTGCATTGACCTTTTAAATGACATGACAATGTGATGTCTTTCCCTACATTTTAACACTTGTCTGTAGTAAGACAAGTGTCTTTAGACAGATTCTTAGTAAGACAAGCAAGCAGTGAGCCACAAGCAGGTCCTAGTGGTATGAAGGCAAAACGTGCCAGTGTGTGCACACCAGTGAAGTCATCACTGCCTGATGTTATAATGGAAGGGGGACTCCCCTTCCGAACAGTAACACCTCTCCTCCCTCCTCACCATCTTACATACGCCAACAGCAGTCATCAGCAAGAGTAAGTAATAACTTGAATATAGTTTTGAAGTGTAGATTTTGATGAATTAGTTATAAAATTTATTTTGAAGTGAGGTTTTTGGGTAGTCAGGAACGGATTAATTCAATCCCCATTATTTCTTAAGGGGAAATTAGCTTCGGTTTATGAGTTTTCGGGTTACGAGCTGTCTCCAGGAACGGATTAAACTCTTAAACCGAGGTACCCTTGTATTAATTCCTACAAAGTTATTCGTTATCTTTTTTTATCATGAGCGGTAATTTTGTAATACAATATAAGCTACATACACAGGCCTACTGTCATTTATAGTCATCATTTTACCAGAAGGCAGAGAATTAATATGGTAATACTGTACAGTATATGTAACTAAATAAATTCCGTACAATAACTATTTGCAAAAATTCTGAAAATAGTGGCTCCTGAGATACTAACAACACAAATTTATATTCTCATAACAATGCAATACAAACTATTGATGTTAAAACTATGGAAATTTACATACTACCGATAAATAACTTCATGCATTCCAAGTATGAATAAATGATTTGTATATATTTTTGCAATATTTAAAAAAATGGCTTTTGTAAAACTTCCTGGGACAACAATTTAAGTCGAGAGAACTGGCTACAACTCCTGGCACAGAGTCACATGTATGCTTCACAGCAGCTACAACACAGTGTCATCTTCAAGGTATCACTTAGTCCCACTTACGATGATACAAAAAAAAAAAAAAAAAAATATTATTAAGCCAAGTAGCATCCATGTGGCCAACTTTAATGCCAATACAAGACATTGTCTGCTATGATGTTGAGATTTAGGCAAGATATTGGGAGCAGTTAAGGTATGCTATGCTTCGTTTCCCCAGAACACAATCTGCCAATTATTTTGCATCCAGATCTCTATTTCCTGCTGAAGTCGCGCTTAAAGGAATTGTACCTAATCCTACCACCCTGGCCAGGGTCCGAATGCAGATTGTTCTTACTTACTAGGCAAGCAGTTAAGGTCACTATTACACTACAGGAAAACATGTTCATGAAGAATAGTTCTTGGTACAATGAACAAGATGATAAGGGCAAGACATAGAGCTCCACAAAGAAAAGTCATTGTAACTCCTAATTTAGATACAAGAGGCTAGTGGAGCATGAGCAAGATAAATCTTGAATTAAGAAAAGCAGAGACTAACATTCTAAGAAGCAAGTAAAATGCCAAAAAGATGCTTCAGTATATCTATAAATTAATATTTAATATACATAAAACTCCTACACCTCTATTCACTATTACTACATTTAGTCAGCATTTATTATAAAATAAATGTGTAAATTCGGTTTACTATGTTAACTATCACAAGTCCTTATCTAATGACTGTACTATTTAACATTACCTTTTTATGCTGTGACAAGGTTATACTGTGACAATGAATTATGCTTTTTATGCTGTTTATACTGTGTTTATACTACAAGACAACTTTTCAACATACCTGTAGTTGGCCACAAGATTTAAGTTAATTTTTTGTTACAAATTTCTGTAGATATTTCTTGTAAACCCAGCTTACACTATTTATTAAAATTGTGTGTACAATCCCTCACAAATGCACATCAGTTCTGCAATTCAATAGTTGGGAAAATCTACAGAATTCTTACACAAGAAGAAGATTGAATCTTACATCATAATTGGAAGCTTCAATATTTTCTGCTATCTTGGGCAAGGTTCTGTCCATGGAGGTACAAGCTGCATGCTGTATTTTCTGTCCTAGACTTTCCATTGATGCACAAGTTAACACGCTCTCAGAGAAACTGGAATACAGTAATTGGAAAACTGCTCAGTAGTAACACAAATTATCACAATACAATAGTTACACAATACATATAGCTACATAATGTACACCTCACAATTAATTGAAGGAGATGTCCCCCTTCCTTATGCCAAGCATCTCTCACACTACAAATACAGTATTCCCTTGAAAATTCAGATATCATTCCAGACAATCTGGATTTTCAAAAAAATTGGCCTTAATTTTTTATTTTATCACCAAATTTGTATTTTCTTATAGTAAATTATATGTTACACATTTCAGCATATTGACATACAAATAATATATAATTTTGAAATATATAAAGTAATAAAGATGAGAGGGTAAACAAAGGCCAGAAGGGATAAACATCATATCACAGCTACAACAAATTGAAAATTTGGAAGATATCACACAGCAGCAGAAGTATATGTGAAACAAATAACTCCTCCATCCACAATAAATGCAAATCAATCGATCAATAATCCTTCCCAATGTATAATAAGCTTCTCTACTGTTGCAGTCACCACTTGCTATTACTGCAAATGTCAGTCTCTTACTCGAGTTAACGGCTGAATGAACTTAAAAAATGAAGTCAGCATGTTGTGAAGTAACTATACCTTGAATCTTTTATATCCTCTTCATCTTGGCTGTCAGGAACTTCAGAATGAGACTCAATATCTGTGAGCGAAGGGTAGATGTGTCCAGGTTTCACTTTTGTTACAAATTCTTTCTTAGGAGAAGTATGAACCTCTGTGAAGAGAATGGGATAAAATTTTATGCTAAAACTAATTGAAAATTGCTGCACAAATTTGG